TAATACCTCAAATTCATTTGTATAGGGCAAAAATTTGTGGATGTTTAAACAGAGGTTAAATGAGAGAGTAAAGTATTTTTATACCCGAGCGCACTTGTGCACAAGGGTATATTAATTTTGTTCACATAACGGTTGTTTGTAACAGCCAAAACGAATTGAGATAGATATAGACAAATGTATACATAAATGCTCAGAATGAATAGAGAAATCGATTAAGCCATGTCTGTCTGTCCGTCCGTCTGTCCGTCTGTCCGTCCGCCCGTGTACACGATAACTCGAGCAAAAATTGAGATATCTCAACGAAATTTGGTATGTAGGTTTCCGTTAATCCAAGGTAGGTTGGTATTGAAAATTGGCGAAATCGGACTGTAACCACGCCCACTTCCCATATAACGGTAATTTCCAGAAATACGAAAACTGCGATATTTTAGTAACTACTGAAGATAATTCACTCAAAATTGATATTTACAATAACTTTCAGACGAAAAATAAGAATATTATAAATTTTTGGAAAATGGGCGTAGCCACGCCCACTTATGGTTACATGTGTATATCTTGGTAACCGCTGCACCAATTTCTTCCAAACTTAGCACAGTTGTTGGCCTTAGTACAGCATACTAAACGGCCGAAAATTTAAAAAATCGGACAATAACCGCGCCCACATCCCATATAACGGTAATTTAGAGATATACAAAATCTTCGATAAATTAGTAAATATTAAAGCTAATTTATTCAAAATTGATGCTTGCAACAATTCTTTACCAAGAAATACGCTTATGGTAAAATTTTGGAAAATGGGCGTGGCACCGCCCACTTATGATCACATATATGTATATCGGTAACAGTTCTACCAATTTGTACCAAACTCGGTATGGTTATTGTGCTTGCCACATAAAAGCAATACGTTGAAAATTATTGAAATGAGACTAAAATTACGGCCGCTTTTCATATAACGGTAAATTTCAGAAATGATTCAAACGTCAATATTTCGAAAGTGAAGGACGCAAATTTGCTCAAAATTTATACACCCCGGCTTACCATGTAGCGGTAGCTTTCGGAAAGGTGAAAAAACATATATTTAATACTTGCGCCGGGTATTTAATGTTCGGCTCCACCCGAACTTAGTCTTTCTTACTTGTTTTAACTGTTTTTTATAGGGCTACTGAATTTGGGATAAAATATGTAAGAGACAAGATTAACGTCTACAACAATAATGCAGAATCACAACAATAGCATCTAACAGCCAAGACAAATGATTTGCCAGGGCCATTTTCAGGACTTTTCTATACAAGGTGTTGTCGAATTATATCTGAAAGACACAATGTGATTATTTAAGCAGCCATTAATACTACTTTTAAAAGTTGAAAAAGCGGCTATTAGATGGTGAAGATGCTAAGCAGAAAGTTAACACGATTGATTTCCTGTCCCTATGCAAGCAAAATTCTAGAAATCCGCTACCAATTTTGCCATGAAAAGTACAATAAACAAAAAAAAAACCTTTTTAAGTTTCATAGTTGGAAAAAGTATAGAACCATTTACATATGTGTGTATATATACTATTCGATCATGTTTGGACATGCATGCATACCCTGCAGGGAAACCGAACTAGGCCGATATGAACTAGATCCCCACCAGTCCAAAATCGGCGAAAAGTGGTACTTTTAAAAAACTAATTTTTTTCAGTTTTTTTTCACTAGAAATCGATATCTAAAGTGACGAATTTAGAAATGGTTCGGAACTATAGAAAAAGGGATGCAGGACGAACTAGATCTTATTTGTCGAATTTAGAACTAGTTCGGAACTATCAAATAAGGGATGCAGCTTGTTTACCTTACATAGATATGTGTTCGGCGGCTTTTCGTTCAAATATGCTTCTATTCTGCGCTTCGCAGATGGTTTTTCGTAGCTTGGTAATACAAAACTAAAATTTCTACATCTTGGGACCGTCTGGAATCTAAGAAATAACCGCGAGCACCTCTGCAAACTCAGCTACTGCTAAAGGTATGTAAACGTACATTTCTTGCAATCATTCAAACAAATTTAATTTCAAATTGAAAACACATTTCTTCCAAAATAACTTAAAATCGCTCACACGGAAGAACCAAAAAGATTGAAAAATCATGATAGTTTTTTCTTTCGTCTGTCGATTTCAGAACGGGTTCGGAACTATAGAATTTAGGACTAGTTCGGAAATATCGAAAAAGGGATGCAGCGGGCGGCAATTGACACTTCCTAGGATATCGCCATGTTAAATTCGCCAGTTGTTTGCATGCAAAAGAGATTTATCGCGAACCAGTACTGGGTCTAAATGTACTAGAAGCGCACCAGTTCAGAACTAGAGATTTTCCCCACAGGGTACCCTCTACCATTTTATAGCCATTCACAACCATTGCCATTCAAAGCATTATTATCCATATGTGCACAAAATGCCCAAAAATATGCAATAAACTAAATGCCATAAACTATTAAGACATGAATACATATCTCGATGCAAGATGTTGCCTGTCAAACGCACACAAACATAAATATTGTGTCTGCAAGCTAAGTTAGAGTATTTATGTGAGGACATACATACCCTACAAAAAATGGGACGAATCCGGGATGACTCCGGGAGCAATCGCAAGGGAACATGCGACTAATACCACTTTTGATCTCTTTATATGGAATGAACTGTTCGCTTTTGTTCGAGCATGTCCTGTGAAGAGACTAATTTTTCACCTTTATACCCGAAAGGGTATAAAAAGCGACTAGTCACTTTTAAAAAATAAAAATAAAAATTTGCGCCAGCTGAGATTCGAACCGGGTTGCTCAGTTTGGTTAGACGAATAATATATCTATGTGCCAACGCCGCACATGAAATTTCATTGACTAAGTGCGTACATATCATTAAATCGTCAATAGTACCCGTTAGAGATGAGTTGGGGACTAAATGATCTCCAGTTATACCCATAAGGGATGAGTCGTGACTAATTGACCTCCATTATTACCCGTATGAGACTAGTTGCGACTAATTAATGCCCAATTGTACCCGATTGAGAGTAATCTCGGAATACTCTCTTTAGAGATTAGTCGCACAATTTTTTGCAGGGTACATATTATGTACTATATGTACTACATACATACATACATATGTATGCAAATGTGTTGTGCGTACCTCAGTTGAACAAAAGCTATTTGTGTAAAATATCTTCTTGCGACATCATTTTCATCCACTTCACTCTCACACACGCGCGCTTTCTCTTCCCCTCACAATCACTGTGTGGCAAACTCGTTCGTTTGTTTAGTATCGTATTTCAGTTATCATCTCTTATCTATAACTTATTTGGAGCTCATTTTATATGCAATGCACGAGCTGAAGATTTATCGAAAAAAATGTTTGAAATTGAAAATGATGAATATAAAATCTTCCAAAGGAAATAATAATAAACGAAATTTCAATGATGACAAACACTCACTGTGAATGCCTGCGATAGCATCTTAGAAGGGCACTTGTTAGAGATATGTATGTTTAACATGGATGTTTGGCTGTTAAGCTAACTTGGTGATTTTATGATTTATGCAGAGCAAAATGACAGCAATTCTTTTTAGTTTTTGCGTTGAGTTCTACAACGTTGTCTCTGTCAAATATTTCACAAATCCATTTTAGTTTATAGCTCTAAATACATCTCAATATTATTACTTATGTAGTGCATCAATTTTTATCCATCGGGATAATATTTACTTAGATATTTTTTCCCCGAAGTTAGTTAAAAAAGTTAAAAAAGTTGTTAAGAATTTAGTGTTGCGGGGATCACATTGACTCGAATCACAATGTTGTTACCTGTATACAGCTGCAGAGGAGGCTATTTCAACTTTTTTCTAGAGAGCGTAAATAAAAAGTGCAATATTTGAATGAAATTTTTGCAGAATTTTCTTTAACTTTACACAAGGTTCAGAACTCTAATTTTTGGGGTTTTTGTGGTTGAAATTGTCGAAAAATAAAATATTTAAAAAATAGTTGCCCGTATTGTAAAAAATTCGCTGTAACTAAACTTAATTGACTGACTGTATATATTTATATTCATAGGATTTTAATTAAACTAAGATTCTTCAAATTGCATTCAAAATTAAAAATCTTAAAGGATATTATTTTTTAAAGTACATTCTAAACATGCTCCAAAATGATAATTGAAAACAAAAGTTATAATTTATCTTGTTTCGAGTTCTTCTTGCAATTGAAACCCAATATCCATATTTTGTGTAAACTTTTGAAAATGTATTATAATTTAGAGTACTTTGGAAAATGTCCTGACAACCCGGCAAAAAACCAAAAACGTTGGGAGTATAGTAATATTTTTTTATACAGAAGTAAAATGAGTAAATAAACAAAACACGCGAACTGCACAAAGCTTATTCTAAAAAATTAAAACTGCAAGTTAGCATGAGTTACCTTAAAAAATGACTTTGGTTTTTGGGACAATATAATATACATGCTTTAAATAATTTTTGAAATTAATAATGACGCACAAGCAGTCACCTCATTAAAGAAAAATTATGTCTTCCGTAGCAAAATGTTCACCAGTTTATTAGAAAAATGTATTTTCTCATGCATTGTGGTCATGAATTATAACTAAAAATGGCAACTAAGTGCACGTTAACGAATATTATTTATTTTACTTTATTTGTGGTTATTTCAAACATATATTTGAAATTCATATATTTCCTATTTGTGTCAGTCACCGCAACCTTGCAGTGCAAAACAATGAAATCTTTAATTAAAGGCAGCAGTGCGTATACTAACCTGAGTGATTTCATTCTGATGATTGAAAAGATAATGCCATACATACGTATTTAAATAACGATTTATTATTGCATTTTATTTGTAAATATTTGCTCAATATAAATGGATTTATTTGGCTGCAGAATGCAGGGAAGGCACAGAAGTATTTCATAGGTGGCACAATATATTTTAATTAATAAATTTCATTTTAGTTATTAGGCAACTGAAATTTCTTACTACTTTACATCCACTGCTTGCCATTACGATCCACTGGCGGTGGTGGTGGACCGTTACCCCGACCACTATTACTCTGATTACTCCTATTTTGTCGTCCCTCAATCGATTGCTGCCGCACGCCCTTCGGCTGCTTCTCATTTTCGACACTGTAGCCCCGCGTTAGCTCTGGCCGACCCTCTTTTGGCTTTGCGCCGCCCGCCGGCTGCATTATATCCAAATTCAAAACCGAGCTTACCTCGGAGAGATTATCATCAGCCAAGTCATGATAGCGTCTACCCACTTCCATATCTGAATCATCAAGATCGACCACATCGATATCGAATGAATTGGCATTAGCGGTGGGTCCGGTGTAGCCTGGTCGTCGACCCGGGTAACCGAATTCTACAGAAAATGGCGTGTGTCGACTACCAGGCGCATTGTTCCTCTTGTCAGCATTACTCTGGTCATAGCTGGGTGGCGCAAGTGGTGCGGCAGCCTTTTTTTGTGAAGCGCCGCTTCCAGCGCTGACTGCTTTACCAGGCGCCTGGGCTTTAGGCGCTTGAGATTTTAGCTGCTGTTGCTGCTTGTTCAAGCCGCCAGCAGAGAGTGGCAACTCGCTGCTCGTTTTGCCTGTTTTCTGTCCGCTATTGCTGTTGTTCTTGTTATTGCCTGCTACCGCCGTGCTATTGCTTTGCCCGCCAGTTTTGTTGCGCTCTATTTCAGGCGCTGTTTTGGCGCGTGCCAGCAGCGGTGGTTTTTCTTGCGTTGCCAAGCGCGACTTATTCTGCTTCAGAAAGGCTTGCTCTTTAAATGTCGGCTGTTGCTGTTGTTGTTGGTTGAAGGCGCGCAATAGCTCGCGTTTTTTCATTTCCGCCGTGCGCGCGTGTGGTCCGTCATAGTGATCGTCAATCTCCTCGCTGATCTTGTTGAGCAAATCGAGCAGCGTTGATGTCTTCTCATCCTCGAACTCGATTGGAATGGGTGACTCGACGCCTGGACGTGAGAAGGTCGGGCTGAGCAATATGAGCCTGCGAACGGTTTGTTTATGTAAAAAAAAAAAAATATTTTATTTCGTTTTCAGCCACTTACCGCTTAGCTTCTTCGATTGCCTTTCCGAGATGCTGCAAATTGTCCGCATCATGGTGGTTGCTGCATCGTCCGATCTGCGAATTCTTGGTAACACCGCGCAGCACTACCGTCCACTTATGTGTCGCCGATTGCGCGGCAACTGCGCGTGCTACGCGTCGGAAACGTTCGAGTGGTGTCTCGTTGGGATCGCGTGAAGGCTCTTTTTCGATGCGTATTTCGTTGATTTCACCTTCACCGTTGACATTGAAGTTCGCATCCTCGGCGTAGACCACTTGCACGGGTGCCACCTGGAAGCCTTTCATCAGACGACGCTCCCACACCTTATTGCGCTTGACGCGAGAGGCTACAAGAAGAAAATTTATTAGGAATTCGAAAGGTCTCATCAAAATATTGATTTTTTTAAGAATTTTTGTATCCAATTTTATTTTGCATATTTAGCTAATTTTAAAATTTGTTAAAATATGTAACGAATATTTATTAAAGGTGACAGCTCCAAATGGTTTTCTAAATTCCGAAAGTGGGTAAAGGGTCTCAAAAGAGGAGAGCCAAGGAATCTGTAGCAGCATACTACTAGTGCAAAAGGACCCTTGGAAATCAATGGAGACTATAATCGTAGGTCACCTATCGTGTACATCACAGTCATCAGACCGATTGCAACCCGCGGGTCCTTGGAATGGTGAAGGGCTCTATACAAAGGTAAAAACAAGAAAATAATAGAAAATGTGCAAAGACTCGAATGCCTTGGCATATCGGGGGGAGTGAGTAGCGCACCTCAAGAGGGGCTTAACATGATATCTCATTTGCAACCGCTGCATATTCTCATTCATGGTGCGGTCGCAAAGACCGTTTTGACGCTCAGAGAGCCAAAACGTGGAAGGCAACCAATTTCGGTCATCAATATCAGCAATACTGAATGAAATAATGAGGGCCGGCTAAATGGAATTAAGGACGTCAATACGATGATACCCATTCGGTTCCCGACCAAAGAAGATTGGGATGCAGGACTGCCAGTAGCAGAGGGAGGTATATTTATCTACACTGACGGTTCACAGATGGAACAAGGAACCGATGCTGGTGTCGGTGTCTACTCGAAGGACCTGCAGATCAACCGGTTCTTTCGTTTACCGAACGACTGGAGTTTCTTCCAAGCGGTGATTTACGCTATAGAGAGGGCGGCAAAGACAAAGCCACTATTTTCGACGACAGTCAGGCAGCACTGATGGCTGAGTTGTAAAAAGACAGGGAACATACTGAAACTCAATACATCTGCAGTGAGAGTCCTTACCGGCGTCATCACAGGACACTTTGCTGTTGTACCAATGCTTCAACGGTGGCGAATACCAACAAATATGACCTGAATAGGCTGTCGTCTTGAGGATGAGAAAGAGTCAATTGGGTTCACAAGCTGGAACTGTTGGATCTCCTCGGCTTCTCCACTGAATCAGCCGGTTGGTAAATTTTTCTCATATCCTTTTTTGCGTACATTTCTTTAATAGTATTAGGCCTTTCTGTTATTTTTAGGCACTGTAAGTGTATTTGATACAGACATTGTGTTGCGTTGAGATGTTCGGATCTCATTGGAAAACGTATGTCTATTTTTCACGACCCAAAGCCCTTCTGAAGCATATAAAATTTAAGTTTGCATACAATAGAAAAATATTGATAGAAGAAATTCTCACTCTCGAAGGTTCTATTTATCCCCAAGTCGGGGAATATAACGCACATAGCTGATGGCTATGCAGCACACCTATACCAAGGGTAAATCCACAGAAATAGCACTACATGATATAGTAGCGCAGATAGAAAAATCACCGTCTTCAAGGAATACAGTCTGGTAGCATTCCAAGACACAGAGGGCGCTTTCAACAACATTTTACCCTCATCTGTAACGACAGCGTGGCGGATGTAGGCATTGATTCGCTAACAGTGATACTTTTATACCAATTGCTGAGATCTCAGATAGTTAAGGACGATGTGGTGGGGATATCGATGAGCAGATTTGTCAGTAGGGGTACCCCACAAGGTCGAATTCCATCTCCTCTCCTATTGAAATTGGCTTTAACCAATTTCTCAGAGACATGGACAAATTTCATAAAAATTATGTGATGTTATGCAGAGAAAAGTAAGTAGGGTGGAAAAATGGCCAATGAAAATGGCCTATGAGTAAACCCAAGCAAAATGGAGCTTGTATTATTTACAGAAGTAATGTAGAAATCCCTAGCAGAGAACAATGGAACTTAGGTGTTCCAAGGTCAGAGGATTTCATTCTGTTCTACGCTGGTGGATCCAAATTGGATAACTAAGTCGGAGGTGGAGTGTACTCAGAACAACTAGGAGTACAAAATTCATTCCGCTTTCCAAACTACTGCATCGTCTTTCAAGCTGAGCTCGCGGGCTACCAAGTGCTTCAGGACAAGAGCAGTAGCATGCAACAACAGCTTTGAAAACTCTGAATTATAGAAATAGTACTATCTCAACGCAGATAACTTACCGTAATGGCAGAGCTATTCACTCTTTACCTGCGGTGGGTGCCTGAAACATACGTATAAAGGCAATGAAGGGATCTTCCCTTCCACCTTCACCGTTCTGGAAGAAGTTGGGCATGCCGCTCGCTACCTGCAAACCCAATGTGCAGGTATTCCTCTTCTCTGAAGCAATCGAAATATGGAAACGGCCGGAAACCTGCAATACGCCCGGAATGGGATATAGAAAGATTAAGGGAACGCCTTTCCTTATACTTAGCATTGGAGAAATCTCTTTAGCTACGCGTCTGCTGACCGGTCACACCACTCTAGTTAGGCACGCCGAGAGACTCGGGGTGTCGTGCAATGCCTACTGCAGAAGATGCAGAGATGAATCAGTAATGTAACTACTTTCAGAATGTCCCGCACTGGAAAGGAGCAGACTAATGTTTATTGGCGCCGGAACCACAGAAAACCTAAGCGATATAGCGGGAATAAATATAAGGCAATTGTCCAAAATTTTCCAACTTCACACTCTGGTTTGTTCAGGAGGATGGAAGGTTAATGTGATCCCTAAGGGTACCACAATGGGCCTAATGATGGACCTATGTATGCTGATGTGTCTATCAAAAGTCAATTCAATCTAACCTTACCTAACATAACCTAAGACATGCAATCGAGTTTGCGGTACATTTCAAAACAATAAGTTGGCACTTACACAATACGTCAGTATTTGGCCCAGATTCTCCTCCGATTTGTGGCGTGCGCCTTGATGTTGTCACACAAAGAGGAGGGACCTACAGTTTTCCGCGTACTCGGAACGGCGACTGTATTTTTATGAGAAGCTATTTTTGATGGCAGAAATTTACTCTGTAGGTTTTGTTCTGCCAACCGAGGGGGCGACCGCTTTTAGACGAACCTTTTTTATTTTTTTAATTTTGCAGGCGCTGTGGAAGCGAAGTGCGCATTTCTAAATACAGCGGTTTCGACACACTCGAATAGCTCTTATTTGGTCTTCTGACGTTCTCTAATTCCTATATCTTGTCGTTTTCTTGTCAATGCCTATCTACTCGTAACTAAAATTTACCTGCATTCCCTTCCTACTACTTACGCTTCTCACGCTTGCTTGCGCCCGAACAATCCAGCCCACTATTCTCGAAGACATCCAATATTTCATAGCGCATCGCGGATATCTCACATTTCAGCTCGTTAATGTCATCCTCAGTGACGGGATTCACTTCGAATTTGCGATGTTCCGCGGAAATGAAACGCCAAACCAGCGAACGCATTATATTATCATAGGCATTGTCTTGATCCTTATCATGGCGTTTCTGTTGCGAATAAACGTGAAAAGAAATTATTGGAAAAAAGTTAACTCAGCAGAATGACAACCAAACAAACACAATTCGCTTATAATTAACTTCACCTTTGAACGCTTCCTATCGATCTCCTTGCTTGATTTGCGAAATACTCTGATTAGCCACTTAGCCGAAGGCATTATGTTGAAGGGTGGCGGCAACGTGGCACTATCTTCAAAGTAGCTCATCCAAAGTTTGGTGCGTGCGAATTTCCATTCCGTGTCGGAATGTTCCTGCGGGAAAACAAAGAGTAAAATGTACTTGTTTATAAGATAAAAAAGGCTGACAATAAATAGGAAGTGAAAGAAGCTAAGTGGCGATTTTTTCCCCCGGCGCGTTTATACCAAAGCTGTGTGCATAAATCACGCACTGACCACAAAAGCGAATTGCTGAGTATGGGCGCAAACAAATAAATTTATTTTGGGTTATACACAGTCGCATCTTTCCGACGCTTTTTCATTGTCCGAACGTGACAACAGCGCAGACGGTCTGTGACAATTGCTTGGTGTGTCTATACGTACAGGAAGACCATTTTTCACACCAAGCTACGTGTAACACGTTCTACTCCACGCACTCTGGACATTTTCCCTTTGACTTGGTAATCAGTTCAATCTTTACGTGCTACTTCAACATCGACTCGTCTTCCTCTGCCTGCTGCCTTTTGTGTCAACAATTCAGCGTTGACAAAATGATGTCGTCAGACCAAGGCAAGATTGCACAGAAGGTGACTTGAAAACTTGCTGACGTATCAATTCAACAGCTTTCTGCACATCGAGTTTTCAACCCACACACACACACTCCACGCTTCTACTCTTTACAAAGTGTGCATCCTCCCTCATTCATACATATTTTTTTCACTTTACAGCCTGTTTCACTTGTCCCAATGTCTTGTTGTTTGTCACCGCGCACGACTTTTGCTTCCCTTTCCTATCTGCTGCCTTCATACCTTCATCCGTTTGACCAATTCCAACTTACATCAATCATTGCATATGAATTGGACATCATGGCGATGAGTAGATTCAACAGTACAATCACATTGATGACACTATATGAGCCGAACATCAGCAAACCCCAGAAGCGTGTGTATGATTTAATGCCAGTCAACTCGAAATCGGAAAGGCCAACCATGCCGAAACTGGCCCAGAAGAGTGATTGCGATGACTCGAAGAGGCTGGAAGAGGTGGAGCGTATGTGAAATATTGAAAGAAATATGAGCAATGAATGAGTAAAAGATAATTGTAAGGAAGCTGGAGCGTATGTAGCGGCGGCAAATGAAATATTGGCAGCAATGATGAAGGCGATGATGGGGAAAATATACGCATTTAAAAAGTGAATGTTTTCGACAAGTAAAAAGTTTTAAAACATAATACGTGATAAGATATTCAAAAGCCAATTTTCGGATATAAAATTTAAAGGGTATGTGTAAGCAATCCCAAGCTCTCCAAAGTTCAATTCTTCTTCGTCCTAGCACACCACCCTTACTCACTTTCCGAAACGTCGCCATTTCATGCACGAATCTCCATTACCGCCCCAATCGGCTGAACCATCTGGTAGGCTGTAGCATTTACTCTTTTCCAAATCGGCAAAATACCAAAGCAATTGATTCAGCCCGCAAGCGAAGGCGAACAACACCAGCGAGTAGATGAAGAAGAACTTTACTATGTCGATAACCATGCGTCCGAGCGAGATCTGCAATGGGCCGAGGTGTGGGTTGATCGAGAACAAATGCACCAGCTTCAGCGCTGAGAAAACGTTTGCAGCAGCCAACAGCCCCTCAGCAATCAATTGTGGATCATAGTCGTCCCACTTCTCGCGCGGTACAAATGCCATTTTGGGATCGTGCACGATTTCGCTGGTTTGCTGAATGTAGGCGATGATTCTGTGGACGGATGAAGGGAAGTTTTGCTTTAATAATTATCAGAGTCGCAATTACTAATCTAAAGTTTTAAATATTTAAAAAATATCTTTCCCTGATTCGTAGCACTTTGTTCACACTAACGTGAAATGTGGCAAATCTTTTAATGGTATAAAAGATTCTGCAGAAACCACTTATTTACAAAAAAAATCTTGGAGAGAATTAATAATCATTCCTCAAAAAAAAGTTACTCTGAAAAAAAAATCTAGAAGTACATATTTTCGCAATAAATATATGAATTAAAAAAAAACTACTTCAAAAATATTATCAAAACGAAATTTTTGAGGAGTCAAATATTATCGGAATCAGAGGTATTGATAAATGTTTTTAAATTAACTTTTTTGATGTACATTTTTTTCTGAATAAAATTCTTCGAAAAACTTTTATACAAAACCTTTTTATAAATATTTTCGAAGTAAATAATTTCCAAAAAAATATCTGAAACAAAATAGCCCTTTTGTGGTAATTAAATAAAAAATAAAATAATCAAATTTTCGAAATAAAGATTTTTGGATTTTCGCAGCTAAATATTTTAGTGCTGTTTTCTCAATTCGCTTTTAGAATTCATCTGCTCTTCAAACAAATTGTTTTATACCAAAATTTTTGTTTAAAGTGCAGATTAATTTTAAACCCTAACGGCGCTTAATCTTTTTTAATTTCGCGCTTATTTTTTAAGCAAACTTTTCTGAAAATTTTTTTTTCGGATTAAATTTTTTCAGAACACTAGATACTTTCTGAAAAAAATTTTCCAAGTAAACTTTCTTTGAACCAATGTTCTAATAAGATTATTGTGCTAAATTCTACAGTAAACCAAACTGTTTAATACATTTTATGGAAAACAAAACATTGAAAGAGTCTGCAGTTTTAAGGCTAATCGCGGTTTTCTGAATTAGCTTTTAAAATTAAATTGCCCTTCAAAAAAGTTTTTCTGAGCAAAATTTGTGTTTAAAGGACAGATAAATTTTAAAACCTGCTATAAACAACGGTCTAAATGTCTTAAACTAAATTTTTTAAAATACTGTTTAAGAAAGGTTTTTTTTTTAATATTTTCTTTACAGAATAAATTCATTTGGAAAAATTTTTCTCCGGAAGAAAGTTTCCGAATTAAGGTTTTGAGACCTAATATGTTATCGAGACAAAAGTTATTGGTTGTATTTTTTGCAGTGAGTTTCTAAGTAAAAAATTTTTCTTATTAAAATTTTCGAAGTAAAAATTTTCGGAGTTTGAAGTTAAGTGTTTTACACTAAGTGATTTGAAGTACGAGCATTTTATTGTTTTTAAACAAATTTTTCCTGAGTAATTTTTTGGAAATAATAATTTTTTCTTTTTTGATGAAGCTTTTCTGTTTTTGGAATTTGTCAAATTTTCTCAAAGTAATATTTTTATTACTTGAAGTAACTTTTTTCGGGTAGAATTTTCGGAAAATGTCAGATGTAACATTTTCTCAAAATATTTTTTTAAATAAAGTTATTCGAAGGAACAGAAATAATCGAAAACAAGTTTGTTATCAGTAGGTATTGCACATGAACTTTAAACGAATATAATCGATTTCGGTAAAAGCTTTTTGGGGTACACAATTTTGGGTAAAATGTTGTGTGGAGCTTTAAAAATGAAAAATTTCGAATAATTTTTTTCGGCGTTAAGGTTCTCGGACTCTTTTGGTAATTGTTAATTTCAGAAAATGTTAAATTTTCTTAAAATAAAAATATTTGGAAATATTATTAAAACATTTTGTGGAATTTTAAGAATCAAATATTTTGAGAACATTTCTTCGGAGCTAAGATTTTCGGACTTTTCTTCGGTATATGTTTTCGGAAAATATTAAATTCTCTTAAAATACAATTTTTATAAATACATATTATTAAACAAATTTTGGGGAGTTTAAAAATAAAATATTTCTTATACATTTTTTCAGAGTTAAGATTTTCGGACTTTTTTCTCTCTATTATTTGCAGCTACAATTTTTTCTTATTCTTTTGGAATTATTTCCAGAAAAGTTTTTCGTCGTAAAAATTTTATGTACATACACATTTTAGAATAAGTGTTCTTAAAAGCATTTAAACAAAAAAAATCGAAACAAAGTTTTTAATGGCAAAAAAAATATTTCATACTAAGTCATCGTTTATCGTTTGTAGAAATTTTTCACTTTCAGCATCAGTTTACATAGTAAAAATATTTCAAAGTACAACTTTTCAGGACTAAAGCTTTTTTAATGTTTATTTATTTCGGTTTAAAATAATTAAAACCCTTTTAGTTATTTCAAACTTCTCCAAGGTTTTTATTAAGGCCCTTGTAGCAACCAACTGAACTCTTTCGATCTCACTTTAACTTAGTTTTCACTTACCTCAGACACATGACGCTCACGTATAAACTGTTGCGCAGAAAATCAATGAAATTCCACATATTCCGCAAATAACTCTTCATGCCCAACGTAAATATCTCCTGCACCTCCTCCCACATAAAGCCGAATACATAAAACACAACAAGCAACTCCAACTTAGTCGGCCCTTTGCCACGCTGTCGCATCTGTTCCTCGGCCAACTCTTTCCGCATGCGTTCGGTGCCGAAAAGACGTATAACATCGTCATCGGCACGTTGCGAAACCAGGATTAGAATGACTGTTTGCCAAAAGGGTACATACATGCATATATACATACATACATATATAGCACGGTGTTAGTCGTGAAGAAGCGAGAGCAGTGCCGCATTGGTACGGTAAGTAATAAGTGGGTGAGTAGTAAAAAGGAATAAAAGTTTTTATAAAATAAGTAAGTAAATACCACCAAAACACAAAAAAAAAATTAGAAATTTTAAAAAATATTGTGTCTAGAATATCTTTTCCAGCTCCCAACGTGTCTGAGCGCAGCATGGCTTTGATAACTGGTTATTCGTTGCGGCTGTCAAGTGCTTGCAACCGTCACGCTAAAGGCACTTCGTAATAGTCTTATGCACACACACACACGCACTCACACACTCACTCAAACGCATATTCTTATAAGTACAAGCTACATAACCACACAATGGGAGTCTATAAATACAATTTTTTTCCACTTCTGCTGCATTGATGCGACTATATTTGACCAATGGTTTCTGTCTATTTGCTACTCTTCTAACTGTTTTAAGCTGATAGTCCTTGGCAGCACATTTTTATCATTTCCTGTGTCTTTTTTATATTTTCGTTTCTACGATTTCCGTTTCTTGTATTTCTTTTCGCTGAGCATTGACTTGGCTTCAACAATTGCTTGCTGCCACATTCCCGAGGGTATTTACTTCGATCACAGAAGTATTATTGCCGCTGTCTGTTTTACTCGATTAGATAATGTTCATAAATGGGTTTCTAAATGTTTGACAAATACTATTTGATGTGGTTGGCGTTTTCAGCAGGGAATATGAGTGGCGAAGCTTTTGTGTGTGGATAATATATGTATTGCTTGCGTATTATTACAACGCTTCTAAAGTTTTCGCATCTGTAATTTTTGATTTTTCAGAGCAAACTTCCCACCAAAAAAAAAGCGAAATTTGCAAGTCGGTTGCAACTATTTATTTATAAAACTGATTATTCTTTTCTGAATAACGTTTTCTCTTATTTCAAAATTTTTTGGGAATACAAGTTTTTTGATAAAGGAACTTCGAAGTTTTTTCGAATAAAAGTTTTCTGTTTTTAAAATTTACGTATGTGCAGTGTACATACAGACACATTGGTGGTATTTTTTAACCGACTTCCAAAAAAAGAGGAGGTTATCAGTTCGTCGGAATCTTTTTTTTTTTTATTTTCTTTTTTATGTATGTTACGGCATAACTTTGGACCACGTCAACCGATTTCGATAATTCTGTTTGCATCGGAAAGGTAGTGTCTCAGAGGTGGTCCCATACTAATCTGCTTAAGATCCGATCAGAGGATCATGAGATATATATATATATTTTTTTTTTTTATATGGGAGTTGAAGTCGGTTTTTTTTTGCTAAAAATTACTTGTTAATAATCAAAATTTCGTAGACAAAATTTTCCAAGATAACTTTTTTAACTCTCCGAACGTTTTGGTGCTGATTTTTAGAACAAAAATTTCAGAGTAAATTTAACGTAGTTAAATTTTTCTGAATATCAAATTTTTGAGAACTAATAGTTGTATTGTCGAAACACAATCTGAAAATTTTTTTCTACAATGGCTTTAATTTTCGGAGTAAAGTTTAGCCAAAGTAAAAATGTGGGAAAAACCTTTTGAATCAAAAATTTTTCCAAATTTCCAATTCGCGGTAATTTTATAGAATTAAAATTTTCTGAATAAAACTTTAAACCCCTTTTTCTACACGGGATTAATTTTTCGATGTAAAGTTTAACCGAAAATAGAGATTCAGATTGGTATGGGTGTAATCTTTTTTAAATAAATAAATAAATAAATAAATAATTAAAAATTCGGAGTATACATCTTCCAAGCTAGCGTTTTTAAACTCTGCGAACGTTTCGGTGTTATTTTTAAGAGCTAAAATTTTAGAGTTAAACTTTTTGGAATCAAATTTTCTAAGCACTAATATGTTGTAGTTGTAATTATTTGTGTATTTTTTTTATTAAAATTTTCGAAATTAAAATTTAAAGCTTTTTTTCTACATAGGATTAATTTTTCGGAGTAAAGTTTAGCCAAAGCAAAGGTGAAGTTAAAAACCTTTCAAATTAAATATTCCGGAGTTAAGTTTTTGGAGAACAAACAAGCTAACAATAATGTTTTCGAAAGTAAGTTTATAAGAAAATATCTTTGGAATAGGAACATATTTTTGGGAAAAAATTTCTTATAATGCATTACTTCTTCACAGTTAAAAGTTTCAGGGTTAAAGCTTACAAATAATTTCTTATAAAGTGTGGTATATCGAATTATGTAAATCTTTTCTAACTAAAATATTTCGGAGCCTCACTTTCTGGAAGCTAATATTTACATACTTAAAATTTTTGTATTAAAAGCTTAGAATTCTGTATCTGACCAGTAATACTTTTCCGAATGATGTTCTTGGGCAAAAAAACTCTTCGAAGTTAAAATTTCCGAAGCATAATTTTAAATAATAATACTTTTCTTTTTTTCTTTTTTGGGACTAAAATTTTAGAGGATAATACAATTACATTCTCCTCATTAGAGGTATTTTTTCGAACCAATGTTTTTTCATACTTTCGGATTTAAACCTTCCAAGTAATTGTTTTTTTTAATTTTCGTACAAAATCCTACGAAGAACCATTTTTCCAAAAACATTTTGCACACAAACGTTTCGAAGTTGAAAATTTTTCGGAGTAACATTGTAAGGAGCTTTTTACTTAGATTAAATTTGCTTTCCGAAAAACATTTATAGAAGCTAAAAGTAGAAAATATTTATTTGGATTACAAAGTTTTACATAAATTCCTTCGAATGAAATATAACTACCGTTATGGAAACTTTTCGTTTAATTGCACATTTTACCGAGTAAAATCCTTCGGTACAAAAATCTTTTAAATACAAAATTTTATTTTTTACAATTTTATGAATTCACTTTTCTGAATAACTCTAATCGATTAGAGTTTTCCAAAACTTTTAAAGCTAATTTTTACAAACTGGCGCTGACATTTCTTGCAATGCTCTGGTCAAACCTGCAGTTTTTCGTTAGATCATAATGATGATGATTTTTTGCTTCGTTTGAAGTTGCTCAGTCTCGCTATCTCGGAGTAAAATATTTTGATATGCAATTTTTCGGTGAAACGTTTTGGACATATAAATACATTTTTGTGTGAAAATTTCTCCAACAAAAATTTTAGTAAAAAAAAATTATAAAAAAAACTTTTCGGTAAACTCTTCTAATAAAAATTTGAGAACTAGATTTTTCCGAATATATTGCTTTTAAAGAACTATTTCGGAGTAAAATATTTCGAATTAAAATTTTTCTGAGATAGAGAAATTTTTTGTGTTAAAATATTTTGAACGAAAATTTTAGGAAAAAAATGCTAAATAAAATGTTTTTGAAAAAATGTTTAAAATTTATTTTTTCTATGTTAACTGTTTTGGAATATTTCCTTTGGAGTAAACTTTTTGCGAATACAATTTTCGAAGAATTTCGAGTTAATTAAATTTTTGTACATTTACATTTTTACTTCCAATAGCATTTCTTACCTAAAATACTATTTACTACGAAAATTTTTTACTTAGAAAATTTTACTCCTTAAAAAGTTTCTTTAAAATGTTATGGTTATATTTTTCGGGTAGTGTAAAAATTTACCTTCATGTACAGAATACACAAAACAAAACTAATATAAAATTTGTTTACTAGAAAGTTTATAAATTAATTACTTCAAAATAAACGGATAAAAAACGTTTCGACATTAATCTAAATTGTTATTTTTCAAAGTAATTCGGAGGCACAATTTCGTATAAATAAAAACATGTTTGCTTTTGTTTAAAAAAATTTATTAAAAAAATTTCAAAATAAAACTAAGTGAAAATTTTAAAATTTGTTTTAATTTTTTTTGGTGAAAATTTTTTTATGTTAATTATTTCGGAGTTATTTCTTCGGAGTAAACTTTTTTCGAGAAAATTTTCATAGGAAGTATTTCGAATTATGTACTAAAATTTTTACTCGGAAAAAAATTTACTCTCGCATTTTCACATCTAAAAACATTTCCTACGAAAATATTTAGTCCGAACATTTTTTACTTGGAAAAAAATGTTACTCCGAAAAAAGTTTCTTCAAACACTTGGTCTTACATCTTTCGTTTAATGTTAAAATTTACCTTTATGCAACGAATACACAGAAAAAAACCAATCTTTTCAATTTTGTACTGCAAAATTTGGAAATTAGATTTTTGTAAAATGGACAAAAAAGCTTTGTCATTAATTCTAATTAAGTATGTCGGAGTAAAATACTAATTTTTTCGATGAAACAATGTTTTCGGATGAAGAAATACATGTTTGATGTTCAAATTATTACAACAAAAGGTTTAGTAAAAAAATCTCAAAATAAAATGTATCTACTGAAAATTTTTAAATTTTATTAAAAGTTTTTTAGTGAAAATTTTTTCTATTTGACCTATTTCGGAGTTTTTTCTTCCGAGTGCACTATTTTAGAGTAACATTTTCGAAGTAAGTTTTTCTGAAACACATTTTCGGAATGAATAGTTGTTCGAAAACGAATTTTATGTAGAAAATTTTTATAAATAAAAATTTGTCACCAAATTTTTTCCACCCTCTTCCATCGAAAGCATATCTCTAGAAATATTTCATCTTTCCTTAGACAACTGTATCTGGCTTTGTGCATTTAAAGCTCTCCTGCTCCAACTTTTAAAAGGAAAGATTGACGTGACAGCAGCAAATTACATTCGACCAGACAAGTGCTAATAACCACTTGGGGGGAAATGGCTACTTTGTCCAATCGTAAGAGGCTCAAACTATTAACAAAAGTGACAAGTAGCAAATATGCCATCAGCAGAAAATTTAATGGACTGGAAAGATTATTGTACTCAAGGCATTAGAAAAGCGAAAAAATCTGTTAGACGGGCAAATTTCCGATAGCCAGCATAGTAGTTAATATGTCACTTTATGAGTTGGCTGACTAAAAGAAGAATTCATGCGTTGGTGAAGAAGGAAAGTAAGTGTGGTTTTGCGTAGGACCAAAAGAAGTGATTTTTTTTTAATTCACTAAAGCATGCTGTATGTACATTGAAACATTTCGGTGCTATAATTGAAACTTAAAAATACATATACCTAATACATACTTATGTAGCTTTGAGGCATGTATTCACAAAAAGAGATTGTTTATAAAATTATAAAGTTTGTACAAAAAAACACCTTGAGGTCGCATATCTCTAGGAAATATGCTCTAGTGCTTACTTCCTTACTTTCTTGCTCACGTACTCACATACTTCCCACACATGCCTTAGGTTACTTTCTTACATACATATGTACATATGTTATCGGTCTCCCTTAGCCTATTTGCACTCACACTCAAACAACTTAGATCAGTGAGATTACGCTATGTTTCCACTTATTAGCCAGAAATTCTTAGGTTGATTGAAGTTTTAGATGCTGTAATATCGACAGCCAACTAAGGCAGCTGCAGTAACCATTTAACAAAGCAACAGTAGTTCGTTACATGTACCAAGACCAACTGCTTAGCAGAAAATTCATTTAAGTGCTTAAGCTGATTAGCTTTAAACTCCAGAGCCAGCAAGAGTTTAGATGGACGTGTGTAGGTATCGCTCAACACTGTTACAAATCGTTGCACATATCTATCAATACACAAACTCACACACACTCACTAACTCACTAACACATTCGTGCTTGCATAACCTTACAACTCCCACTCGATAACTTTGTTACTTACATAGGAAGAACAAGTAGGATGAAGCGTGCGTGAGAAATTTCATAAATGGTTTACGCATCAGTATGCCAGTACGGCAATTCGGTGCAACCATGTAAATCGTACAATAAACCGGAAATAGTACGGCCACTTGTATGATGCACCAGAATTTTTCGAGATACGTTTTACGCCTAAAGCCAGGCAAGCCATCATACCAAATAGCTGAGAGTAGTTGTTGGATATTCGAGTGGGCCACGAACTGAAATGAATGAAGACAAAATGCAAAATAATTAGGCTAATGGATTTGTATTAGGCGCAGTTGCTATTAAAAAAAAAAAGTGATAACTAAAATTCATGTACACTTATTTTGCATAACTGTAGCTCTTTGTGAGTGTGAAAGAAGCGAATTGAGCCAAAACGATCTCAAATAATCTAAGTGTACCTAATAGTCCACAAATATACATAAATATAAATTTTTGCAACTCACCTTCTTCTGCTTGTAGGTAATAGCTTGTTCAAGTCGCGATAAGCTCATACGATCACCGGGTTCATAGGTGGAAAATTCTGGATCATAGTTCAGTATAATGGCCAGCTCATTTGAGGTGCGCGTTTGATCAAGCAAATCGACTGCAAATTTTTGGCACTGGCGTCGCAATTCCATATATTCCGCTTTGCATTCCTAGAAATTGAGAAAATTAATTAAAAACTTCTTCACTCAAACAGGACCTGAATGAGCTCTGACGCACTCAGTAAATTAAATGACTTTATCATACATACTTTTTTAATTTTGTTTAATTATATATAACACTTACCTGCTCTGTAAAGGCCAAATTACGTAGTTCCCATGACAGTTGGAATGCTGTGAGTAATGGATCGCTTGAGGTAAGGCAAATGAGCGAAGGGCTGGCCAAAGCTTTGTAAATGTTAACACGCGAAAGTGAGTGACGTAGTGAGTCTTCGTTAGACTGGCGTACGCACTCATCACAACCGCAACTGGAAGTATGAGAATATTTTATAAAAAAAATATAATTTAGTGACAATTTTTTTTTTAAATTCCTAGAATAGTTTTCAGTTGTGATTCACGTATTAAATACCAAAACAAGCTTTACTCGAAAACATTATTTTCTTTAAAAGTTTCTTCAAATCTTGTATGTTTCCTGTTTGGCTACCGTTTTTGAAAACCTTTCTTGGAAACTTTTGACCAAAAAGGTCAACGGTGAATATTTTACATACAAAACTTTCAACCATAAAATTTAGACTGGGAAATGCTCTAATTATTTAAACTTTAGTCCGCAGCACCTGGGAAAAGCCTTAGTTCTCAAAATTTTGGTACAAAAATTTTACTCAGAAAAACTTTACTCTTAAAATTTTTACTCGAAAAGAAAAATTTAATCTTGCATTTTTAACTCGAAAACTCTTTTCCTCTGAAAGTGTATTCCTGTTTGGCTGCGATTTTTGAGAAATTTGCTTGGAAAAATTTTACTGAAAGAAGTTTACGGTGAACATTTTTCATGCAAATCTTTCTACTGTGAAAATTATACTGCTAAAGGCACTAATTCTTTAATCTTAAATCCGAAACGTTTCGAAAAATTTTACTTCGAAAAAGTTTACTTCTACAATTTTCACTAAAAAAAAAAATTATTCTTCCATTTTTATCTCCTGGGAATATCCCTAACTTTCTAAATAGGTCCGAAAATTTTCGTAAAATTTTATTCAGAAAAACTTTACTCCTAGAATTTTTACTCGGAAAAAAATTTACTCTTACATTTTTAACTCCCAAAATATTTTTCTCCTACAGTTTTACCTCCTAACATTTTTTTACTAACTACTTACTTTCTCCGGAAAAAGCTCCTTTACTTGGGCTTATCTATATTTTTGCTGTAATTTGAAAATTTGCCTTCAAGTAATGAATACACCACAAAACAGAACTACTTTAAAAGTTATTTTCTTTTCTTCTTTCTTGGAAATTTTTGTCCCAAAGTATTTAGTGGGAAATTATATATTGTAAAAAAAAAATTGTACCACGGAAATTATTCCAAGAAAAGCTCTTTTTCATCAAGCTTTACTCAAAAAATGTTACTCCAAAATTATTTTATCCGAAAAAGTTTACTTTCAAATTTTTAACTCCAAAAATTTTTTCTACGAAAATCTTTTACTTAGATAATTTCTCTCCCAAAAAAATTACTCTAAATATTGGAGGCTTAGGTTTATCGTTTATTGTAAACATTTGCCTTCAAGTAGCGAATCTACGAAAGAACTATTAAAAAAAATTATTTACTGAAAAGTTTCTTCAAATTTTCAATTTTACTTTTTAACCGACTTCCAAAAAAGGAGGAGGTTATCAGTTCGTCGGAATATTTTTTTTATTTGCTTTATTTTTTTATTTTATTTTATTTTTTTTATGTATGTTACCGCATAACTTTGGACCACGTCAACCGATTTCGATTCTTTTCGCATCGGAAAGGTAGTGTCTCAGAGGTGGTCCCATACTAATCTGGTTAAGATCCGATCAGTGGATCATGAGATATATATATATATATATATTTTTTTTTATATGAGAGTTGAAGTCGGTTTTTTTTTGCTAAAAATTACTTGTATTTTGTTATTTTTTTAGGTAACTTTCTAACATTAAAACAAGAAAAGCTCTGATTTACTAAAGTTTACTCCAAAAATATTTGTAAAATTTTGCAAAGAAAATATTTTTTGCGAAGATAATATAATCTTAAACTTTTAAACCCCAAAATTGTTTTACTTAGAAAATTTTACTCCAAAAAAGTTCCTCTAAAACTTGAGCTAACATTTTTTGTTTAATTTTAAAGTTTGAAGTTTGAACTTCTCTAAAAAATTATTTTCCCAAATTTTTTTTAATTTCCTATTTTTCTTCAATTTTATTTTGGTAATTTTTTTCGGTATGAAAATACATATTATTTATAGGTAGGTAAGTTTCAATCACGGCAATTATAACGGGAAAAGCTGCTTTTCATTAAGCTTTACTCCGAAATTTTTCGTCTAATTTTACACATCAATAATATGCTCCGAAAAATTTTTGTCCCAAAAATGTACTCCTTAATTGTTAACCTCAGAAACTTTTGCTCAGAAATCTTACTCCCAAAAAAGATCCTTTAAAAACTTGGGCTCACATTTTCCGTTTAAAGTAACACAAAAGAACTATTAAAAAAACTTATCTACAGGAAAATTTTCCTAAATTTTCTGAATTTCTGCTTTTTTTCTATTTCATTCTGTTTTTTTTTTTTAATGTCATCAACTATCAACTATATCTCTTATTTGTTTTATGTTAGGGTTTAGATTCTAATTTTGTAAATTAATGCGCGCTGATGTATTATAAAAGACTGAATAGTCTTAAAAATACCACCAAATTTCTTAGTTAAATAAATAAAATAAATAAATAAATAAAAAAAACTCCTTTAAAATTTGATTTAAATTGATTTGAAATTTAAAAAATTGTATTCCAAAAATATTATACTCCGAAAAACTTCTTTAAAATTTGGGCTCATATCTTTTAATAGGTGCATTCCAAAAATATTTTACTCCGAAAAAACGCTTTAAAAATTGGATTAGCATTTTAAGTGTACTATGAAATTTTACTTTGAAAAATTCTACCAATTGAAGAAATTCGCATTAATAATTTTATTGAAAGTTTCATTTCGTTTTTAGGTTTTTTTTTTTAATTTTACCCTGAATATGCTTATTTCAATTTTTTCTACGCCGAAAAATGTTTGCACCCTAACAACTTTTTCGAAAATTTTGTATGTGAAAATGGTGACACCCACATTCCTCCTTTCGTGAAATGGCGCTCTTTATGGTGTAATACTAACAGTTAGAGTAATTCTCTGTTTTTAATTTTGAAACTTTTTTGAGCTGATTTTTGAAATCGCCCTAATTTTTTATTAATTTTTAATCCTTTTAAAATACCAAACCTCAGGGCCGTTTTTACAGTGACGAGTTAACTCTCAATCTGCAGTTAACTACAGGTTTTCAGTACAAAAATTTAAAAAATAATAATTTTTAAATTTTAACTGCCGAATTTGAATACACCCCCGACTGTGAAAACGGCACTTAAAGGTATAAATTTTAATAAAGTTCTTCAATGGAGGTCTTTTCCTCGTATGCTTCTATGTAATTGTAACTGCCCATATGTATTTATGTATGTATGTATGCATGTGTTAACTTATGTATGTATGAACTTTTATATTTTCAAGGTTACTCTTACGCACCGTATGTCATGAGGAACTGGCACTGCAGCGCCACGATCCAGGAGAATTTTCAAGATTTCAAAATTATCTTTGTGAGCAGCTAGAATGAGTGGTGTTATATCTGGCGGAAATACGGCTGTGTTCATATCGACCGTTTGCCAGCTCTGTAAGGAAAATAATTAAAAATACATACTTAGAGTAGAAAAATCAAGAATATTTTTTCCAATATATTTAACATGTCGCTGAAAAATTTTCGCCTTACTTTTATTTACTTATAACAAAACCATGATAACTATTTTTTAAATTTTTAATATGTAACTTTTTTAATCCTGATTGATTTCTTATAACATAAACATTTATCAGTACAAGATATAAAATTTCACAATACTCATTAATATAAGTATGTGAAGGCGAATATTCATTTGATTGAATTATAAATGACTGCCTATTAGTCACACCTGAATGGCTCACTCGGTCACACACAGCTGTGGTTGAGGGAAAAAGGTAGCCAGTTTTAACGTGCTCGACTGTGTCAGTTGACAGGCAAATCTGCATACACACACCTACATATACAGGAAAGCATACATGCTAGAAAACCGCTACAAAGTCAAGGACACTCTACTGACATTTCAACGTCTCGGCTACCCACAAACATCACACGAGCCTACGCTTTTTCCCGGTCGCTAGCTGCCTGCTCATTGGCACATTAAGTGCCTAATCAAGCGTAGTACCGCGTGAGCGACAACAAGCTCCGGAAAAAGTGAAAGGAAACGTGAGCGAGCAGCAAAGTATATGCAGTCATTTGTGACATTAATATTTACCCTGCCACTTATCATTATGCATGTGAATGTTGGCATTTTTCTGAATGCAGATAAGTATTTGTGAATGCGCATAACTGTATGAATATAAGCTGCACGTAAAAAATCGGCATAAAAATATTCAAAAGCGCAAAATAGCACAATGAATGGCTGACTGAGTGAATGGTGCATAAATGATTGCTTCGGTGGCATTCAAGGGCGCCTCATTTATTTGTATAAATAACCACTTTTAACGCTTTTGGTTTTGCAATTTTACTACCTCATTTAATTTACTAATCAGTCATGAAAATAAAAGATATTTATTTGTGTTCAAAGCTTAAACCGAATTTGAAGGTTACTATGTCTACAGCAGAAAATGTTTGGATAAAATAATTTGGAAAGATTAAATTGTCTGAAAAGTTGTGAGAGACTTTGCTGACAGTTGCCATCAAAAGAAATTGCTTTTTAAAAATTGCAATTGAAATTTACTATATTTGAAATTTATTTGCGTTTAGCAATGCATAAATCAGGCCTTGCTTCAGCTTGTTAGTAGGTCGAGTTACCCTCTCGAGGACTGGGCGAGAAAAAAAATATGAAAAAAAGCACACATGGACACATCAAAAATCTATATGAAAAGAAATATAAAAAAAAATTTCTTGAAAATTTTTTCACAAACACATTTTTTGATAAAAAACCTTGTTTTTGAAAATATTCCATTTGAAAGTCACAATGGTGGCTCTGATTTTTAATATTTTTTATGTTGACGACTTTTCGCACTTTTTTCTTATGGAAAAAAATGCGCAAAACCGTTTTCAAAAAAAATAAAAACAAAATTAACGCCGATTTTGCAATCGCCTAAAACTTCCACTTTATTATATTAAAATTTAATGGGCTACAAAACTGCATTCTCAAAAAACTTCTAAAAAAATTAAAACATTAATTAATTTAATTTATTTTTAAATTTGCAATGTATTCATTTTACTCAACTTTGGGGTAAAAAAATTCATAACTCAAATTATTGTAGAGTACACCCCAGAATTTTATACTTAGATA